AGAGAGAGGAGGAGGAGGAGGGAGAGGAGGGGGAGGAGGAGGGGAGAGAGGGGGAGGAAAGGGAGGAGGGAAGGGAGGAGGGGGGGGTGAGAGACAAGGAGGGAGGGGGAAGTGAAAAACCAACACAACAAAGTGAAAAGAGAAATGAGAAATGGAGTTTTGTAAGTTTCGGGGTTAAAAGAGCAGAAGTTTCAAAAATTACTCACAGGCGTCCAGAGGACAGAAATCATAATCAAAACAAAAACGGAAGCCGGGTTAAAGGAAAGCGGACGGCAGCGGGCGCCGGCGGGGGAGCGGTAAGGCCCGCGGGCCGGCAACTCAAACGTGATCCACAAGCGAGGAGGAAGCGGCTGCGGGCGGGGGCGGGCTGGGGCTGGGGCAGAGTGGGGGCAGAGTGGCGGGGCAGTGTCCACCCCTGCCCGGGCCCCCTGGCTTCAGAGCCCAGTGGTGGGCGGGGTCAGAGATCACAGTGGGAGTGGGCCGCCCCCCCACCCCCGCTCTTCCGGCCCCCATGGCCTGGGTCCCGGGCACCCCTGGCCGCACCCACCTGCCGGTGCGCCATGTGCTCTCGGCCCTCGCTGGGCGAGCGGGACCAGCGGTGGTCCCGGGCCCGCGCCCGGCCGTGCTCCGGCCGCTCCTGGGCGTAGCGCTCCTTGTCGGGGGGCGGGGGGTGGTGGTGGTGGTGATGGTGGTGCCGATGCTTCCTGTCCTTGGGCCGGCCCCGCTCCTGATCCCGCTCCTTGGATGGCAGGTCCCCCGACTGGGTGGTCATGCTCAGGTCCGTCCCCAAGCCTGGGCCAGGTGGGGTCAGACAGACAGACAGACGGCCATCAGGGAGAGGAGGGGGGGACGTACACACAGGAGGCCACCAAGGGGTCTGCAGGCCCTAGAGAGGGGTGTCTTCCCTTGGACCAAGGGGGGCTTGGTGGGCATCGGGGGTCCAGTCCCCAGGCTCCGCGCAGCAGCCGGCCCGGCTCGGTCCCCTGTGTCCCATCCTCCAGGTGTGTCCTCGTCCAGGCCTCTCCTTTCTCCCTCAGTGTCTACCCCTCTGCCTTCTCCTCCCTCCCCCACTCTGTCCCAGCTCCCTGGGGCCCACCTGTGTCCACGTCCGTGTAGCGGCCCAGGGAGCGCTCGGAGGCTCGGTGGCCGCGGTCGCGACGCCGCTGGTGGTGCCGCTGGTTCTCCTCAGGTGGCACCCTCTCCAGGGAGTAGTCGTCCAGGCGCCGGGCCTTCGGGCCCAGCACAGAGGCTGAGCGCTTCATGGGGCTGGTGTCTGAGATGGTCTGGGGGACAGGCCGGCGGCTGGGGTCAGCGGCTGGCACCTGGCGGTCCCGCTCCGTCCTGCCCCATCGACCATCAGTGACCATCCATCCAGGGGCAGAGTCTGTCCCCTCTCAGGTCCATCCTGGGTTCTGGCCAGGAGACCCCGTCTGATCCACCCCTGCTGCGTCTCAGGACCAGCCTGGGGATATGCCCCCGCCCTGGGGGTCCACGCAGGGGACAGGCAGGCCTGTTGGAGGGAACAGCATCTCCACCCAGAATGCACACTGGGGAGCACCGGGCAGCACGCCCCTGCCCTGGGCCCTGCCTGCTCCCCAGGGGTAGAGAGGCCTCTGCCTCTCGCGCTGTCAGGGCCCCCCCAGCCCCCGCAGGCTCAGGGCTGGGTGCCAGGCACCCCAGCTCGCTGTCCTCCCTCCCACCCTAGGCTGGGCTGCGCCTTCCTGCTGGCCCGAGTCTGGCTCCTTGAGGGGCCCCCCTGGCGTTCCAGGCCCCCCGTGACCTGCTCTTATCATCCCTGGCCTGCAGCCTGGGAGCCTGCGCGTGCCGTACCCCTGGGTCAAGTCACGGAAGGAGGGGGCCTGTGGTTCTTTGCGGCCGGGACCAGAGAGGAGGGAGACGGGGCGGACGTCCCCCGGGACCTGGCCCAGCTGAGCGGCTGGTGGCATTGCCCGAGGCAGGAGTTTTAAGGGACAGGTGGCTGCAGGAGCAGAGGGGCAGGGCTGTGTCAGGGGAACGAGCCCCGAGAAAGAGAGGGCCAGGTGGGGCTGCCGGGTGGGCTTCTTAGGAACAATGGCTCCCTGGCTTGGGGGCTCTGAAGACAGAGGGTGGGGGAGGGAGAGAAAGGAGGGGGGCGGGGCCAGGCGGCCCCCCAGGTCACACAGAGAATACAACACACGAGGATGGGGCTCCACGGGGGAGGTGAGAGATGACAGGACTCCCACGAGGGGGGGTGGGCGGGAAGAGGGGGCCGGAGCCCAGCTGGTGGGCACGGTACATACACTGAGGTTATTCCCACGTGGCCGGCCCCTTCTCCTCTGTCACAGCCCCACGGGATGGTGCACACAGAAAAACAGAAAGAAGAAAATAAATATAAAAGCCCAGGGGAGAGTGAGAGGTGGTACATGGAGGAGATACCAGGGTCCGGGAGAGGACCCTAAAGAGTTGAGGGGGAGGTTAAGTTTCCTGGGCGTGGGTGACCCCAGGCCCAGCCGGCCGTCCTCCCATGGCACAGAGGAGACAGACAGGAGACACCACAGACACAGATGGCAGAGGCACAGGACCGACAGATGGGACAGCGCGGCCGCAGGCCCCTGGCCCTGGGCTCTGCCTCATGCAATGCCCCAGCCCTGGCTTGGCTGACACTCAAAGCTTTGGGGCGGTGGCCGTCAGCTGGGCTTGTCCCAACCCTCTCCTGGGGCCCAGCAGCTCAGTTCTAGGGGTGGGATAGGGCTACGCAGCCACATGCAGGCTGGGTGCCCCCCACTCGAGTTCCCAGCAGCCAGAGGCCAGGCCCCTGGGCGACCCTGGCCCAGCCACGCACAGCACAGCCTTCCGCCCCGAGCAGACGCCACAGCACAGCACACGGGCAGCCCGCCACAGCCAGACACGCTGCCCCGCCCCTTGGTCCGGGCGGGCAGCCAGCCAGCCATGCTTCTGGCTTCTGGCCCCTCTGTGGTGGGATCCCCCCACAACCCGTGGGCCCTGCAGCTGGGGAAAGCAGCCACACACAGACACACAGCAGGCGCACACCTGCTCCTCCCAGCGGCCCCCACAGAGACCAGACAGAAGGACGACCCCCAGCTGCCCCCAGGCCCACCACCCCAGACTCTGCTACCAGGCCCTGGGACCTGCCCAGTTCTTGCGAGCAGACCCACGTGTGCATGCACGTGTGTGTGTGTGTATGTGTGTGCATGCCTGTGTGTGTGTGCATGTGTTTGTATATTCCTGATTGCAGCTTTCACTTAGCCTGACAAATTACCTCCCACCCCCTGTCCCCCACATGTGTCCTCCACATTCTCCCGCCTCAGCACCCCCAAACAGGGTGGACAGACCACAGACTCTGCTGCAGGGGACCCCTCCCATCTCCGCCCCCCATCAGAGTGGAGCTCAGAGGACCAGGCCTCCAGATGCTCCAGGTGTGGCAGGAGGGGCGGGGGGCCCGCACGCTGCTGCTGAGGGCGCAGGCAGCCCCCAGGCCTGAGTCCGCAGGAGGGAGATGTGGGGCCTCATGGGGAGGGGACTCCAGGGCCCCAGACCAGGTGGGCGGGCGGCGGGTGAAAGCCCTCACCTGGTTCTCGGCAGGGAGGCGGGGCATGGAGGCGGCGCGGGCCTGGCCTTCCATGGGGAGGTAGTGCTCGCTGTCAGAGTAGCCGTCTCTGCCCATCTCTCGCATCTCCACAGACTGCGGGGCGGACGGCGAGGCCGGGTGAGTCCTGGGCCAGACGCGTGGACCCCGGTGGCCTGGGGTGTGCGGAGCTGCAGTGGGGGCCCAGACCCCGCCCTCCTGGGGGCCGTGGGGGCCGTGGGGGGCAGACACACCTGAGAGTTGGGCTGGCTGTTGGGCATGTTGGTGGGGGGCCCCCGCTCAGGGCTCCATGTGCCCGTCTTCTGGAACATCTCCTGGGCTCGCTGGGTCACCCAGGACGGGCTCTCCTTGATGCCACTTTCATGAGCCATCCTGCGTGGGGCACAGAGGGCAGAATGGTGGTGGGCACCTGGGAATGGCACCCCCTGCCCCCCATCCCTGCCTCCCGGCCAGAGGACACTCACAGGCTTCCTCCCGGGTCCAGCTGGGTGGAGGGGAGGGCGTTCGGGCCAGGCCCCCCCTCCTGCGTTGGAGACGGGGGCTCCATGCGCTGGAACATGAGTGGAGTCCGGTTCTGGAGAGGGGACAGCAGTGTGTGCACAGGTGGGGCGGGGGCGGGGGCAGGTGGGGGAGGGTGCCCCAGGCCTGGGCTCTGCCCAGGCTGCAGCTGAGTGGGGCCGCAGGAGGCTGCGCCGGGCACACCCAGCACCTTCCTGCACCACGAAATCCCAGAAGGCGTTCTTATGGCCCCCAGCACACACACACAAGCACGCGCACACAGACACATGCACGCGCACACACATGCACACACACACACGCGCACACGCACGTGCACATGCACGCACACACGCGCACACACATAGACGTGCACACGCACGTGTATGCACACATGCACACATACACACGCACACATGCGCACACTCAAGTCTGCTCCATCAGCCAGTCCGCTAGACCCTTCCTTCTAAATCCACCCAGAACTGGATCACTTCTTGCCCCTCCACAGCCCCCATGGTCCCATCATCTCCCTGGACCAGCGCATTTGCCTCCTCCCGGCCCTTACCCCCCATGGCCACCAGAGGATGCCCATGAACACCGGAGTGACCTCCCTTCCCTTCTCTACTTACGGGGGCCATGGCTCCTACCTCACTCATAGCAAAGTCAAACTTCTCCCCGTGGCCCCCAGGGCCCCGCATAATCTGCCCCATCACCTCCCCCCACCGTTGTCTCCTCCCTTGTTCACTGTGTTCTGCCACACTGACCTCCTTGCTGTTCCCCTAATTCAAACTCATGGTCCGGCCTCAGGGCCTTTGCACTGGCTGTTCCCTCTGCCCAAGCACTCTTCCCCCAGGTATCTGCTTGGCCCACTCCCCCTCCTCTTCCTTCAAGTCTTTGCTCAGACAGCACCTCCTCAAGGAGGCCTCCCCTGATTACCCAGATTACATGCCTCTCCCCGGGGCACTTACTATTTTCTGCCATGCTAGTCAGTCATTTATTATTGTCGGCATGTCCCCGCTGTCTTGCCCACAGCTGCACCCCCAGGGCTGAGAAGAGCTCCCGGGACACAGCACGTGCCCGGTCCGTGTTGGTGGAGCAGATGAGTTAATCCGGGCTACGTCTCCTGGGCAGGCCCCACTTTTCGGTGGCCGGCCCCGGGGCCTGGCCACACGCCCTGTCCCGGTGGGTCCTGGCGGGGGTCTCCCAGCCCGGTGTCCCCAGCGGCGGCCGCCGGCCCGGCCGTACCTGCTCGTCGCGCATGGCCTGCAGCTTCTTGGCCTTGCTCTGCCGGTAGTACTCCATGATCATCATGGCCGCGTAGATCTTCCCCACCGTCAGGTCTGTGGCTGGGGCGCAGGGCG